CAACTGAGGAATGGATAAACAAAATGTGGTTAATTAGTAGTACAATGTGATATTATTCAGCCATAAAAAAAGAATGAGGCCCTGTACATGCTACAACAGAGATGAATCTCACAAATGTTATGCTAATTGAAAAGAACCAGACACAAAAGTCCACACATTGTATGATTCTATATTATGAAACATCCAGAATAGGCAAATCCATAGAGACAAAAAGGAGATTAGTGGTTCCCAGGGGAAAGGGGGAGTAAAGAATGGGAACCAACTGATAATGGATATAAGGTTTCTTTTTGAAATGATGAAAAGTTCTGAAATTAGTGGTGATGACTATATAAATACTAGAAGCCACTGAATTGCACATTGTAAGACAGGTGAATTTCAGCTGTGTAAATTAAATCTCAAGAAGTTGAAAAAATGGGGATAATGCCTATTTCCAGAACTTCAAGAATTTACTGAGCTAGCATATATGAGAGACGTTCACTAAATGCCCATTTGTTAATTAGGTGGTACAGAACACAAAAGGAATCTTCCCATTTCAAGGAAATAAGTGGAGATGATAAACTTCCCAGGACCACATTCCACATTTCAATGCCCAACTCAGTTAGGTGGTCCTTCAAGGGGTAGAATTATTTTCAGTTAATGGTTGCCTAACTTACTTTACTTGAAGTAGAAATCTGAGAATGAGATAGGGAGTTCAGTCTCTGACAAGTTAAGACATGTAATCCTGCTCAGTTTGAAACTCTGTAAAAACAATTTCACTTTGTATCTACTTTCCTGCCTTCCAGGCTTTTTGCCTTTCCCTCCTCAGCTCTTCTGCCAGAAATGAAAACTCTTCTGTGAAAGGAAAAGGGTGGAAGAGTCAGTGCAATTTGTTCAGGCATGTTATGTTGAGATGACTAGATTCTCTTCACGACACTCACTGGCATACTTTCACCTCTCATGCTTGGCTCAGAGCCTACAGTTTCTTTCTTTTTTTCAATGAGCCAAGAAGTTTCGCCCAAAGATTCTTTTGACACGGATGGGGATCACTTGGAGCTGTGAAATGCATCTATCGCTGGTGTTGTTTTCAAAATGTTCTTTAAATAACTAAAAGTGACCATGAGGACCCATGAGTGGATCCATACTAAGATAGATAACTGGGCCATAATATCTTATTTGAAGAATATCACATGTTTATCACATTCATTACGGAACGTCTATTTCAAGACTGAAATGTGAAAAGTGCTCAAAACATCAAATATACATTATGGGACTCTTAAGGACATATTTCATCTCCTATTTTTGAAAAGAGGAAGACTCTTACTTTTTATCTTAAACACCTTCTTGCCATTTAAATGTTTTTTAAAACAATAAGAATGTATTAACTTACACTATAATGATGATAAAACAATGAGAAAAAGAATATACAAGGAAGTCTGAAAAGGAGAGACACTTAAAGGACACAGTCTAAGATTAAGTGTTCTATTTATAAACTCTGGATTGTAACTGGAACTCACTAACTTGTATAGAATTCTCTGCCTGAAGAAGCTGCTACTGAGTGTCTGGGAGCAGCTGCTATGAGAATTAAATCAACCATCACTTTCTCAGTAGAAATAAAAAGAGATGTGGTCTTTCATAAAATTAAATTTTAACTCAGAGGGAATTTAGTTCTCAGTCTGTTTTGATGTAGAGATAATATGTACATCAGAAATTTCTGGGATCCCTGGTGGTTCAGTGGTTAAGCACTCGCCTTCTAATGCAGTCCCCTTGCACTACAGGATATCTACATGCCGGCTGGTCTTGTCTGCATGCCTCACTGGAGTCCAGAATGGCTTGGCTCTGGAGTGTTAGGCCTAGGCAAATAACACTGACATGCAGGTGGGAAAATTCAGCTCTTTCCTTTCTTAATGGGAAATTCACCTAAGGCCTTGGCCTTGAAGTGCATGGTACAAACACCAAAAACATCAATTAATTCAAACTTGTCTGCTGTGGGGAACTGAGAACAGAAATTAGACCTCTACCTCCCACATTCCTTCATCTCCAAATTAGCTACTAACTGATTAGCACACCAATTAAAAGTACTATAAACAAACACAAAACCAGCAGTTGTGATTTTTATAGCAGACCCTAGAGGCTAATGAGCTCAGTGGGTTAAACAGCTAAGAGGCTTACACAGCAGCGTTGCTATATGAGAATGACACATCGCTACTTCCCGAAAACCCTGTCCAAAAAAAAATCAATGAGAAACATCTCCTGGACAGTATTACAGCTTCCTGGAAAAAGTACAGGATGACTGTTCCTGAGACTTACTAATTATCAGCATTTCAGGTCCTTGCTTCATTGATTTATTTGATTTCCATAAGTGCCATTCACTGTCATGTGGAATCCTGAGCCCCATCAAGTCCTCAGGCTTATCTCAATTCCTGGCTTCTGTGACCTCTCGGCTGCCAATAATTACTTTCTCTCTCAACACACTCCACTCTTCTGCTCTCTCAGAGCTGTCCTTTTTCCTTGATGAGTGGTTATTTTTGTCTCCTCTGAAGAATGGCCTCTTGAGTTTATTCTTGCTCTTGTGCATTTCGGCCATCACCATGTGAATGTACCTGGGAGGCCCTGGACCAGGAAGGATCAGGAACAAGTACAGCAGAGAGATGTACAGGGAACAGCAGGACTGCCCAGCCCAGCCCAGGTCAGCCGAACCCCACTGGTCTACAGGTGTGTGAGTGATCACAGATGAGTGACAATAAATACATAATACTTAACGTTGAGGTAACCTGTCACATAGCAGAAGCTACCTAATCAAATACACCTACTCAAGCTTTAGCTCTGAGAAGTTACACATATCACCACGTTATTACCTAGCAATCTAACAAAAGAAATAGTAGTGGCATGCACTGCTATATTAAAATGGATAACCAACAAGGTCCTACGGTACAGCACAGGAAACTCTGCTCAAAGTTACGTGGCAGTCTGGAGAGGAGGGGAGCTGTGGGGAGAATGGATACACGTATATGTATGGCTGAGTCCCTCTGCTGTCCACCTGAAACTATCACAACATTGTTAATCAGCTGTTAATAAGCTATACTCCAGTATAAAATAAAAGTTTAAATCTAAAGAAAAGAAATAGTAGTGATATGATGACAATAATGATAACATTAAAATCATAATTAGCTAACACATACTGAACACTTAATATGCACTAAGCACTTCATAAATAAACTTTTACTGATAGAACAGTATTAGATTTACAGATTTATTGGGAAGATGCACACATAGTTCCTGTATACTGCATACCCAGCTGTCTCCTATTACTGACTTTTACTTTAGCATGGTACATTATCACAATTAATGAACTAGTACTGGCATTTCATTATCAACTAAAGTCCATAATTTACTCAGATTCTTTAAGTTTTTCCCTAATGTCCTTTTTTTGTTCCAGGATCCTATCCACCACGTTACATTTAATCTCCTTAAGCTCTGATGGTTTAATCCCTCTCCTCCTCATTAAATTTTATTTTATTTTTTTTTGGCAACAGCTTTATTGAGACACAATTCACATACTGTAAAATTCACAATCTAAAATACACAATTCAATAGTTTCTACCATACTGACAGAGTTATGCAACAAGCACCAGTCAATTTTAGAATTGTGTGAGTTTTCATCACTCCCCCAAGGAAATCCTATACCCTTTGGCCATCACCTCCCAAACCTTTCCCCTTTCTCCCCAGCCCTAGACAACTACTAATCTACTCTCTGTCTCTGTAAATTTACCTATACTGGACATTTCATATGAAGGAACCATACAAAAATGTGGTTTTCTGGGAATGGTTTCTTTCATCTATGTTTTCAAGGTTTACCCACATGTTTCAATACTTCACTTTCATTGGCTGAATAATATTCCACTGTATATACATACCACATTTTGTCTATCTGTTCATCAAATGGTAGACATCTGGGTTCTACCTTTTGACTACTATGAACATTAATGAACAAGTTTTTGTATGAGCATATGTTTTCATTTTTCTTGGGTGAATACTTAGAATTGCTGGGTCAAGTGACAACTCTGCATTTATTTTTTTCAAAGAACTGCCAGACTATGTTCTAAAGCAGCTGTAGGGACTTCCCTGGTAGTCCAGTGGCTAAGACTCCACTCATCTAATACAGAGGGTCTGGGTTCAATCCCTAGTCAGGGAACTAGGTCCCACATAACGGCAAAACTATGACCTGGCATAGTCAAATAAATAAAGCAAGCAACTGTACCATTTTACATCCCTACTTACCTCCCTTTTTTACAGGTAAGAAATTGAAGCCTAGAGGGATTAAGTAATTTGTCAAAGTTCATATAGCTGAAAAGCAGGAGAGGTGGGGGAGGGTTGGTGCATCCTGGTGATCAATCTCCAGACCCCAGCTCCTGAGGACTATGGCACACCACAGAGCCCAGAGACTGTGAGTTAATTCTGCCTTCTTATCAGGTCTGCCCCTCACCCTTCTGGGGAAAGGTGCTTAATTCTCCACACCCCTTTTCATAAAGCCCCTCTCTAGACTTAAAATCCACAAATTAACAGGAGACGGAATCACAACAAAGAATCATAAATGAGAAATAAAATGACTGCAAAAAATGTTTTGATAATGAAATATATTCCGAGATTCTTTTAGCTTAACAGGAGAGCAAAGGTGCACAATGACAGTAGCCATGTACCTAAAAGGTCAATGTAATAGGAGCTCACATGTGAGGCATTCTTTACCTCCTTAAATTTGAGGAAACGGGATTTAATCTACAGAATGATAAGTAAACATAAATAAAGACTTCCCCATCATTATGAGATACTGAACTTTTCAGGGTCCCTTTAGGAACCCTCCAGAAATATTACTATCATGACTGAAATTAAGTCCTAGCTAGGAGGCAGGAAGTTGGACAAAATGACCAGCAGGTTATGATTCTATGACTTTAGAGATTTTGTGAAAACACATGACTTAATTTTTGATCCACCGACTTAAAGTCCTTTAACCAGGACTAACTTACCCTGAATAGCAGACAGATATACAAAGGTGTCTTCATGCTCCAAGTTCTCCAAGAATATCTGAAACCACAAAATATAGCAGTGCCATGATTCACAAAGAGTAAGCGAGATTTAAGACACCTTTAGAGCAGACTCTAAAGAATAAATGCTTGTACTCCTCTTTGCTATAGCTAGATACTGGTCTGACTGTGAATCTTGTGAGGAAAATAGTATATATGTTTCAAGTTCCATTTTTATAATGGTTAAAAGAGGATAGCGGTCAGGGGGAGATACTTCTTGAAGTTGTCTAGTATACATTAAAGTAGGCATGGAAACCAAAATCTGGAAGAACAATTCTCAACATTTTTTCCACTACAGCCCACAGTAGATAACCCGTTCTTAGAAAAGACATGACAGACTACAGGCCCTGACACACAAGACGCCAGGTTTGGGGCTACGTTCACTGAATGGCACATCTGCTATAACTTGATCTTTTTCTCTTACACTCAAGAAAGCATATGGAAATACAAGGGCAAGACAGAGACGTTATTACTGGCATAACCTTGAATCTATTCTAATTTATTTAAAAAAATCTTCTGCAAACTTCAGCTCTTCAACTGACATTAGTAACAGCCTGTAAAAACTCTGGCCTTCTGCTCATGTTCAACTGAGTCTTGCTTCTGTAGGAAAATTACAATTTCCCCAAGGGTGGCCCAGGACAGGGCTTGATACACAGTCATGGCTCCTGGACAGTGGGCCTCACCGTGTGTGTGTGTGTGTGTTGTGTGTGTTCTACTCACTGTGTGTTTGTGTTCTACTCACCATGTGTATGTGTCTGAGTGTGTTCTACTCACCTTGAGAAGCTTCTCCTGCATATCAAGGACTTTTGCTTCTCTCTGCTCTATCCAGCGAGAAAGAGTTCGCAGGGCAGCAGCCCGTGTTGGAATTTGAGGATCATAAGCTGATAGAAGAGCTTCCTGGAGCTCTTCTGTGGTTTCACTTCCTGATTTTTGGTTTGCAGTGGTGCTGGGCTCGCGGACTTCATGAGAAGCAACATAGCTTTGCTGTGGTTCAAGGTGGCCATGAGACACATCGCTGTATCTTTCATAACCGGTTTGTTGCTGCTCTTCCCTTTTACCTTCTGGATCCCTTTTGTTTAGGGTACTCTGGGCAGCCACACTGACAGCCTCAGTGGAAAAGGCCCCATGAGTAGAGATGGTAATGCGGAGATCAGCAGCAAGTTCCTGGATGACAGGGTCAGGGTATGTGTTGGAGACCTTCTCCAACAGAGGCAGCAATTGCTTCAGGACAGCAAAATCACTTGACTTCAACTACAAAATGAAATTTTAAAAATGCAAACCCAAATTAACATAGCACAAGGCAAGAGACGCTAAGAAAAAGGGGCTGGAGCAAATCTTGTTCCTGGTGTAATTCGCACATAGCCTGAATCTGGCACTCTAACACTATGGTCTTATAATTAACATTTACTGAATACTTACTGTGTACAGGTACTTTTCTAAGTAATAAAGTACATTAGGAACAAATATTATTACTCTTTTTTCCCCTTCCCCACTCCCTCGCATATTATTACTCTTAATATTTATAATCTGATGGGCAAACACGACTGTTATTATTTTAATTTGCATTAATCAGACTAACAGCACTGTTAAGCATCCTTCCATGTTTATTAACTGTCTACATTTCTTCTGGGAACAGCCTGTTTTCATCCTTTGTATCCCACTTACCTCTTAGATCTGTTTGTCTCTACAGTCGGTTTTTTTTTAAATTAATTTATTTTTTAATCGAAGGATAATTGCTGTACAGAATTTTGTTGTTTTCTGTCAAACATCTACAGCTATTCTTACCATGACATATTTTAATACCCAGTCACATGGTGAAATTCTTTTATATTTTGATCTGTATTGTATTATTATACTTTTTACTAGGATGTACCTTTTGCCATAAAAAGATGAGTTCACATTAGCAAAGTACTTAGTGCCTGAAACACAGTAAGTACTATGTGAATGGTTTAAATATAAATACAATAAACAAACAAATCACACACACACATATTCACAGCCCTATAAAACAGTTACTGTTACTATCTACATGTTAAACAGGGGAGGGACTTCATGAGTGGTCCAGGGGTTAAGAGTTCACACTTCCAATGCAGGGGATACAGGTTCAATCCTTGGTCAGGAAACTAAGATTCTACATCAGGGTGATGCAGCCAAAAAGTTTTTTAAATTAAATTTAAAAATAAAAATAAATAAATAAACAAGCGGGGGAAACTGAGGCACAGAACAGTTAGGTAACGTGTGTAAAGTCACACAGCTGAAAGATGGTAAAATGTGAACCTAATAAGTCTGGCTCCAGAGTCCACACTCTTAACTAAACCCTACTCAGTCTCATTTGAATGAATAAAGCTATTCTTAACTGCAAGATCTAAAGTGGCTGGTCAGCATACAAGGGCACCTCAGGCCTGGAAGGGACTGTGATGGTAACTGGCAGAAGGGAAGTTCCCCTAGAAAATAAGAGTGAAAACTACTTAAGATTTTATTCTCTCTAGAAGCTTTGTTCTAATAAAGCCTTACTAGGAAAGGTGCATAGGCAGTCAGTGAAGAAAAATCAGTGGTGATACTTTTCTGTCTAAAAATACTGGAAAAACTGTGATATGAAGCTTCATGAAGCCCTGATCATTTGAAAACCTTACACATCTAAAATCCTTTTTAGAACAAGGCAGGGTATTTATTACTCACTCATTCACGCACTTCATTATGCAACCAACCAATCAATTAACCGTTTTCATAGGACCTACATAGTATTCTCATATTACATTTCAGCTTCACAGAATTGTTATTGTTCATTTTCTCTACCACTTTCCTCCCAAGTAAATGAAAACTTGAGATATATGTCAGGTTTGTACCTGGAATTTCACAATAAAAATATATATCACCTAAGAAAAAGGTGCATTTTATCAAAAATCTATGTGGTACTGGAAAAGATATTTTAGGATAACTGTGCTAGCGTTATCACCATGCTGGACTTCATTCAGTGCCTCTGTAGTATCATGTGTCTTTGTTCTTTAAGTACCTGAAATGAGAATATCTACTTCTAACTATAGTGTATGGCTTCTTTTTCATTTCTAGAATATATAACAATTTCTTCTTAAAAAAAAAAAGTAAGACAAATAGACCAATGGAACAGAATAGAGAGACCAGAGATAGACCCACATAAATACAGTCAACTGATCTTCGACAAAGGAGCAAAGGCACTACAATGGAGAAAAGATAAACTTTTTCACAAATGGTGCTAGAACAACCGGACATCCACAGGCAGAGAAATAAATCTAGACACAGACCCTACACTGTCACAAAAATCAACTAAAAATGGATCATGGACCCAAATGTAAAATGCAAAACTATAAATTCCTATAAAATAACCTAAGAGATATCTAGCTGACCTCAGGTATGCTGATGGCCTTTGTAGGTGAAATACCAAAGAAATCCATTAAAGAAATAACTGATAAGCTGGACTACATTAAAATTTAAAACTTCTGCTCTGCAAAAGACAATGTCAAGAGAAAAGACAAACCACAGACTAGGAGAAAGTATTTGCAAAAGATACATTTGATAATGGACAGTAACCTAAAATACAGAAAGAACCCTTAAAACTCAGCAATAAGAAAACAAACAACTCAATTAAAAAAATGGGAGAAAGACCTGAACAGACACCTCACCAAAGAGGATAGCAATCGAAGATATGCTCAACATCATGTGTCATCAAGGAATTGAAAATTAAAACAACAATGTGATAACATGACACAACCATTAAAATAACTAGAATCTAACACTAACAACACCGAACACTGATGAGGATGCGGAACAGAAGAAACTCATTCAGTGCTGGTAGGAACAAAACGGTAGAGCCACTTTTGCAAGACAGTCTGGTAGCTTCTTACAAAACTGAACATATTCGTGCTATACACTTGAACAACTGAACTCCTTGGTATTTACCCAAATAAGCTGAAAACTTATGTCGACACAAAAACCTACACACAGATGCTTATAGCAGCTTTACACATAACTTCTAAGACCTGGTAGCAACCGGATGTCCTTCAGTAGGTGAATGGATAAACAGATTGTGATATATGCAGACAATGGAATATTATTCAGATCTAAAAAGAAATGAGCTATCAAATCACACAAGATATTGAGGAAACTTAAATGTGTATTTCTAAGTGAAGGAAGCCAATCTGGGAAGGCTACAGAGTATACGATTTCAACTACATAATGTTCTGGAAAACGCAAAACTAGGGAGACAGTAAAAGATCAGGAGTTAGGGGGAGGAAGGGATGAATAAGCAGAGGATTTGGGGGTTAGACCAGCTATTAGGTACAACACTAAAAGGGAATCCTAATGGAAACCACAGACCACAGGTGATAATGATGTGTCAATGTGTGTTCATGGATTGTACCAAGGTACCATTCTGGAGCCAGATGTTGATACAGCAGGAGAGGCTTGGCCTGTGTGGGGGCAGGGGGTGTACAAGAAATCTCTGTACCTCCTGCTCAATTTTGCTCTGCACCTAAAACTGCTCTAAAATATAAAATCTATTTTTAAAAAATAACTATGTTTTCTCCCTATTTTCAAATTTGGTCACTGTGCAATTCATCTTATTCCACTAGGTAACTTCTCTAATCACCATGGACAGGTAGGTGGATTCTGAACCAAATAGTTTCTAAGGAAATGAAAGTTTTGTATTCGCTCAGCTTCACAAGGCTACAGATTTCTCACTATGAGAATAACCAGGGAAATAGAAGACTATAAGTGCCAACTATTTGTTTATAAATGTTCAAAAAAGTTTTTGAGGTATAAAGTAATAATTAACTGATAAATGAGAAAACTGAAGCACTAAGTAATTATCAATTATTTTTCAAGGGTCACCAAGGGCTGCTACCAAAATTGAGAAGTAACTGTAGTCCTCATTTTTCCTCCTGCCATTGCTTCTCAGCATAGATCTCACATCTAGATCTCAGAACTCTGTGGAAAAGCCCTGAGGCTTGAAAGAGCATCCCACAAGTGAGTGACATACTCCTTCATATGGCTGCCTCTTTCCCAGTTTCTGGAATGTTTCAGGAACAGAACAAGCAGTGCTATGTCAGCCCACTTCTACAATCTCCTTTAGGAATGGAAGTTAGGCAATGACTTGAAGTAGAAGTTAGATTAATGATTTGTTCTAAATTTCTGCAAATTTTCAAATTTAGAAACTGGTGGTTAGATCAGTAGGGGTGGGATTAAGGGTGGTGGGTGGTGGGAGAGGGCATGTCCTTTAAGACCATGGTCCCCAATCTTTTTAGCACCAGGGACCGGTTTTTTCCAGAAGGCAATTTTTCCGTGGACTTGGTGGGAGGGATGGTTTCAGGATGATTCAAGTACATTACATTTATTGTGCACTTTATTTCTAATCTAATGCCACTGATGATCTGATGGGAGATACTGGTTCTTTGGCCTGGAGGCTGGGGACCCCTGCAACAGAGGAGAACCTGGGTGGTCAGCCAGAGGAGGGCATGTACCTGAAAACCCCCCAAAGGAGACTTTACAAAGCTCCCCTAGAGGACAAACACACTCTCACTCTGCCTTACCTGCAGCAGTGAGAATTATTATTTTGGAAGAATCCAAAAGTCTCTTCCAGCAATAAAATGCTGACCGAAAAATTCCTAATTCTGAAAAAAATTTACATTTATCTTGTGTTCTCATTTCTGTATATCACCTATGTTTCTTCAGATATTTAGCTAAGCAGTTTATATGTCTAGGTCCTTATTTATAATGTTGCTGAATTTACTTATAAGTGGAACTTGAAGGCAAACTCCATGAGGGATCAGACACTTAATAAACATTTCCTGAATGAGTTTATCCCATGATACTCTTGAAAAAGTATTAATAGCATGAAATCTCAAGGTTTGGCTTCAAGTCCCAACCCCCCAAGACCATGTCTGCTTCACGTGGCAGGGCTTCAGAGGACTCTGTGGGCCCTGGAACATCATGCATAAACTGCCTCCTGGGGGGACAGGGAAGTCATCAACACCATACTTTTACTGATGATCAATCTTGGCATTTAGAAAATACGTTTGGAATTACAGCTGTCTAGCTAGCAGCCTTAAACATATACTTTCTCTTCTTAGACACTATGTTCTAATAATCATCTTACTTACATAAATTAGAAAGGAAAGAAAGGTTCAAAAGCTGTTAGATTTTGTTTCATTCGCTAAAATAATGAATCATGATCAGGGATAGATATAATGCAACCTTCTAGACTCTGAAGCAAAAACCTAGCCTAGCATGACAATGAACATCTGAAAACATAATTCAGGATCATGACTTTTTTTTCTAATACAAAGACAGAAAACCTAGCATTACTATGGAAGCCACTTATAAATCCTTCAATCAAACAGAAAAAAAAAATTAATAGATCTAGGGTAAAGGTATGGGGTGACGTGTTTATGTTCACTTTAACTGCAAAGTCAGAGGAACTCAGGATATAGTCGGTGAGTCAGGATGGCTCATGGAAGGGTAGGGTCACAGTAAAGACTATGCTACATCTGCATCAGTCAGGTGAATATCTGTTAGAACAGGACTAATCTGCATAGCCAGTCCCACAATGATGGACTTCAATAAGGAATTGGAGATTTCTGTGTTCTGTTTTCCAATTGCAACATGGTTTGAAATTCTAAGTGTTAAATAAGCAAAAAACACACTCTCAACTATGGAAACAAAGACTAATCAAATCAATACTCAACCAGAAAAACACAGATCAACCAGGTCAGTTAAATCCATTAACAGTACAACTTAAGAAAAACTATTCCAGGGACTTCCCTGGTGGTCCAGTGATAAAGACTCCATGCTCCAAAGGCAGAGAAGGGAGGCCGAGTTTGATCCCTGTCAGGAAAACTAAGATTCCTGCATGCTGCTTAGTGCACCCAAAGAGAAAAACAATTTCATTGGTGAACTCCTCCTTGACAGTTCTAACAGGAGGAATATAATACAGCAACTGAACCAAAAGTGCTTTTTTCCAAAACAATAAAAAATTAGGAGTGCTAAGTAAATCTACCAACAAGCCCAAATAAAATTTCTTTTCTCCTAAAGGACAAGCTAGAGAGAGAGGCAAGTTCTAATAGATCAAGAATCAGTATCAGAATTTAATCCTTAAACTCAAAAATCCATTCCCAGAGGAGTTCCCTACTGATTGCTAAGAGTTCTGTCCAGTTTGATTTCTGGGCAGATTTCATAATACTTGCACTAATCCTATTCCACTTTCTTGCAGTCTTCTAACCTAATGTGGTATGTCACACACACAGATGCTTACCTATCCGCCTTGTTCTGACCCCTGGTCTCTACAGCTCAGCTACACAGCCTTCTATCAGTGTCTTAAGTGTACAGAGCTCCGTCCTGCTTCCAGTCCTCATACATGATGCACTGTCACTGAAAGAGGCCCCTCCATCAGCCCTACACACACTCCCCAATTCTTATGCATCAAGTCTTAGCTTAAACTTATAGATAGTCCTTATGGAAATCTCCCCAGCCTAGGTTAGATGTTATGTTCGCTTGGTACCCTCTACTTCTTGTTTGAGGTACTTCACTCAATTCTATTTTTTGACACAATTATTTAATGCCTGACTCCCTCATAGGTTCTAAGTTTCATGGCAGGAGGGACCATTCACTACCCCATTTCCAGCACCTTGGCTCAGTGTTTGGCACATAACAAGTAGGCAATACATATTTTTTGAGTAAATAAAGTTAAAAAATTATAAATTAAGTATGTAAAAGATACATGTACTGGAAACAAAACTTTTAACATGCCGCATGATATGAGTTGAACAATGGATCCTGTGCCAAAACAGAACTATTGAAAACATGGAATCCTATGCAGCCAGTAGGTTACAAAGATTCTTCCCTGACAACAACAACAGTGACAAGGGCTGAGCTTCAGAGAACCACTACAGCGAAGGCCAGAGAATCCAGTATTCACCACAGATGCAAAACAGGTATTTCCAAATCCGGCTTGTGCCAGGTCAGAAAGGGCCCTGCTGTTTTGATGGGCAAGTCTATCCAGGTAACAAAGAGGAAGTGGTACCATTTTCTTGTCTTCTACTTGGAGAGAATTCTTATCAACAACCTGACTTGTTTATCCCAGTTCTCCTGTGTGCAGTAGCCATTCTGACTTCTCACAAGGGTATGGATGAGAAGCAACACGTTTTTCTCTTCTCCCTCCTTTCAAGTTTGTCTCACTTCTCCAACTCACCTGAACGGCTCCTCCCAGCATGACGGCCACCAGCCCCATGGACATGCTCAGTGTCTGTGACTCCACAGTGCTCTCCGCCTGGTGAGCCAAGCTTGCACATGCTCGCTGCAGGGTTGCTGCTACAAAGTCCACAACCTACCACAGAAATGAAATTTAGAACCAGCAAGGAGCAAGGAAAAAAAGAAAAACAATCCAAAATTCTCTTTACATCTGATGTCTACATCTTCATCTCCTCCCTCATCAATGTCACCATAGCAAGAAGCTTCAAGAACAACTGCTACTGTGTAGCAGGCATGGTGCTCAGTGTACTACATGCACAAGTTCACTAGGTGTCATATCAACTCTAGGATGTACTCTTGTCCTCATTTTCAGATGAAGAATCTCAGACTTAAAGAGGCGATTTGGGGGGCTTCCCTGATAGTTCAATGGTTGAGAATCCACCTGCCAGTGCAGGGGACATGAGTTCAAACCCTGGTCCGGGAAGATTCCACATGCCATGGGGCATAAGCCCTAGCTACTAGCATAAGCCCAGCTACTAAGCTACTAGTAGCCCAGCTACTAGAGCCCAAGCTCTGAAAAAAGAGAATCCACCCCAGTAAGAAGCCGTGTACCGCAACAGGACAGTAGCCCCGGCTCGCCGGAACTACAGAAAGCCCCTGAGAAGCAACGAAGGCCCAGCACGGCCAAAAATAAGTAAACAAATAAAATGTTTAAAGAGGTGATCTGCTCAAAGCCACACAGTCAATAAATGAGAAAGTCCACATACACTTTCTCAAATCTTTTAATACACCAATCTCACCTTCCTTGACTTTTCGTGAATTTTGCTGGGAAATTTAAATGAAAGATGATTTGTTAAATTTCTGACCATCTCCGAGTGTCTTAGATCCGCTTCTCCTAATGAGGATTCCTCCTCAAATATTCCTTACTCCCATTTCGATAGTCTAGTTTTAGTAGGCAAAGAATATGCAAAAAGGCATTCTTTTAGAATTCAATGTCCCCAAATGATCTGCACGACCAATCCAGTCATTTTTTAAAGTACTGAATGGTTTTAAAGGATTAAGATTATTCATATATAAGAGTTTACACAGCATCTGGATAATAACTAAGCCTTAAATGGAATTAATTTGGTCAGCATTATTTTAACTGTGCTTTGATTAATCATCTTAAGTAGAAACACATTTGAATAAAAGACGCCTACACATACCCATATATGTGCACACACACACACATACATGTGCACACACAATCACACTTACATTCAGGATTAATGGCTCAAAAGGGAAAAATCAACTTGAAAATGGGATGGCTGAGATAGGTCATAATAAGCCTATAAATAACATGCAAGTTTATATGTTCAACTCTCTAGGCAAATCATATGCTATGCTAGAATCTTTACTGCAGACATAAAGTCAGGAGAATGGCTTGTTAACACTTGTCTTTTGGAGCTAAGGCAGGAAACGAGAAAGGTTATTAAAGTTCCACGTACTGGAATAAACAACATGGGTTATGGCAATTTTCATCACCCTCTCAAGCCTGAGAATTTATTGATTACTAGAAGTTTAGGACATTGGCTTTTCCCAGAGAAACTGGTGCATCTACCAACTTGGGTTCCACCTATTTTGCCTTCAAAGAGTCTTCTAAAGCACTCCTTGATTATAGGAAGCTTCTATTTCAGCACAAATACACTGTTAAATGCTGGAACAGAATTATCTAGCCTTCCAACTTTTTCTAAATTCCTCTCCTCTATCTCTCTGCCTACCTACCTACTGATCTATCTATCTACCCACCATAGATTGATCTATCTACTATGCTTAATATTGCTAAACAAGTAGTATGATCCTAATTTTGTTAAGAAAGAAACTTTCAGTTTGTATGTGTATTAAAGGGAAAACAAAACAAAACCCTGGGCACTGTTAGCTGGTATGAGAGCCAACTGCTATTGTTATTTATGAAGTACCTTTCCCCCTAAACTTTCCTGTAACAACAAAACCTCTATACCCATTTTGACAACACCTCCTCCCCCACTAATCATTTTTATGAACTGTCAGCCATGAGAATAGGTAGGTATGTGACTGCTGTTGGTTCTAGAATTTATGTATATTGAGCAGACAATGGAAGACATCTTTTTTACTTAAACATTTTTGTAAAGCTATATAATTCTAAAAACCAAATGCTCGTGAAAGTTTACAAAGAAAAAATGGCAGTTCCCTACCCTATTCCTCCCCATCTGATTCTACAGAGGCAACTGGTTTTACTTAGCTATTTTACTGATAATAGTAAGCATTTACAATTTACCAGGTACTGTTCTGAATGTATTATAGGTATTTACTCACTTAAATCGTCAAAATGATCCTTTGGGGATATGTAAACCTGTTGCCAACATTGCCCTTACAGATGACTCTAAGGGAGCTGAGGCCTCACTGTTGAGCCTACAGACTTCAACTGAATCCTCCCATTCTGCAGCGTGCTGCATCAGCCAAGTTCAAAGTCTTTGGGTTCAACCTCTCTCAAGAATAAACCTCTAGTCTGCTGGGGAGGGGAGGTGGCTGTACAAAGTTAAAGAAGGAACCAAATAGTTTACTGACTCTTGTGGAGCTTGTCAACATGGTCCAAATTCAGCTCCATCATTAGGGCTTGTCTGGTGCCCCCAGTCCTTCCAGGCTTCTGCAGGGAGAAGTGGTTTGCTTTTTTTTTCCTTTTTCAAAAAACTTCTAACAGCTCTTTAGAGGCACATGGCTTTGCTTCCTGACTTCTCTCATGCAAGCACTTAGCTTTCCATTTTCTGAAGTTGCTACTATCTTCTAGTTTCCAAATTTTGTTACTCTCTTTGATCCACTGTATCTCCTCTCTGGCTCTGCTGGTCACTGTGGTTTCCAGAGGGAACAGATAAACACCATCTTTTGTTCAATATAGCATCTTTAATCAGAAGTCTCTACCTTTTAAAAAATTTGTACTTCTATGTGGCTTAAATATTTTTACAGTGAGCAGGTGCAGGTGTTACTTATGTTAAAAAATGTAACATATGAAAATAAAACCCCTTTTACTCTGCCAATTACAGTGATCCAGTTATAGAATGTGCAGAGGGTGGCAGTTTACTGGAAGGGCAGGAAAAAGGGAATCTTGTTTATTCCACTCCATATACGCTGGCCCCCTTGCTGATCCTGCCACACACCAGGCATACTTCCTCTCATCTGGAACACTCTTCCCTTGGGTATATCAATGGCTCCCTCCTTCCCTGCTTCAGATCTTTGCTCAAAAGTTACTTTTCTCAGTGAGATTCTCCAGGACCACCCTGTTTACCTTACCACACTCCCTTCACCATCCCTTTCCTTGTTGGATTTTTTTCTCTCTAGTGCTTATCACCGTCTTAACATGCTGTGTCTTTCTGCTTGTTTACTGTCTCTCTCTCTATATATATATGAATCTAAGTTCCATGAGAGCACAGATATGTCTGTTTTGTTCACTGATGTGTCTCTGATACCCAGAAGAGTAGGTGGCACATAGGAGGCCCTCAATACATATTTATGGAATAAAAGATCTTGGGAGTTGGAACAGGGCTCTGAATCAGTAAAGACCATTCCATGCCTCATTCTTCTCTGCATTATCTCACATACTAATATGCCATTTGCAACACAGTTTTTAAAATTTTTCATCTTTCATCCAGGAATCCTTCAATATGCATTTGTAACAAATAGAAAGATGTGTCTTTTTACATAACTATGCTGTGTTTAGACACTCAGTTGTGTCTGACTCTGTGACCCCATGGACTGTAGCCCGCCAGGCTCCTCTGTCCATGGGGATTCCCCAGGCAAGAATACTGGAGTGGCTTGCCATGCCCTCCTCCAGGGGATCTTCCCAGCCCAGGGATCAAACCCAGGTCTCCGACATTGCAGGCAGACTCTTCTTTACTGTCTGAGTCATAGGGAAGCCCAAGTGTACTGGAGTGGGTAGCCTATGCCTTCTCCAGGGGATCTTCCCGACCCAGGAATCTTCCTGACCCAGGAATCCAACTGGGGTCTTCTGCATTGCAGGCGGATTCTTTACAACTGAGCTACCCGGGAAGCCCCTTTTACATAACTACCACACTACAAATACACAAAATACAAATTCCTTCTATCTTCTAATAATGGGTCCATGACGTTTACAAAAATGTCTTGATACAATTGGTTTGTTTGAATCAAGAACCATTCATTACACTTCCCTGATAGGACTCAAGTCCCTTTTAAGCTGCAACAGCCCTGTCCCTCCTTAATGCCATTTATCTGATGAAGAAACTGGGTCATTTGTACTATGTAATTTCCTGCATCATGGATTTGGCTAATTGTTTCTTCATGGCACTTAATTTGCTCCTTTATCCTGTGGGGTGGGGGGGTTGTTTTATATTGTTTGGGGGTTTGGAGAGGAAGGATAGTTCCTGGTGGTAAGGCATACGTCGTGCTGCATTACATGAGAGGCACAGAATAATGTCTGCGTCTCTTCTTACAGTGATGTTAAGATTACTCAGCCCAGTGAATTCCCTGGCAGTCCAGTGGTCGGGACTACTTGCTTTCACTGCTGAGGGTGCAGGTTCAATCCCTTGTTGGGGAACTAAGATTCCACAAGCCGCACAGTGCAACCAAAGAAAAAAAGATTAATCAGAGTAAGCTGAAATATATAGGGAAACACATACTGACACTCTTTCTTTGACTCTCTGGAATGAGTCAAAGAGTCGGACATGACTGGGCAACTGAACAACAACATACTGATATTAGCATTAACCGTGAAATCCATCAAAAATAAAATGAACAAGCAGATGGAGATATAGACAAAAATATGATAAAGCAAGTACAGTAAAAGATTAAGGACGGAATCTAGGTGGTGGATATCCAGATAATCACTATAAAATTCTTTGAAATTTGAAAGTTTTTATAATTAAATGCTGGGAGAAGAAAGGATCAGATGGCTTGGGTCTATTTGGCCTAATACATTCATTATAAAGGATCCCTAATGGTTTTTGCAGACATTGATGATTTCTACCTCAATTGATTATTTCATTAGGGGATTGCAAAATATTGATATAATTTTCTAGTTCTCATTTTGAATTTTCCAGCTGTGGCTCTTACACAAAGAAAAAAATGTCTTCATTGACTAATTACATAGAAACATAGTTGCCACAGTAAAGGTAAATGTCTTATTCTTTCCCTGCATTTATCATTTACAAAGTAGTGAACTGATCACCTAGGAACCTCTAAAGATGTCCTATGAGATACCTTTTGGGGGGCAACTTGATACATTTCAATCCACTGCAGGCATTATTCTTTTTCACTCTCAAACTGTCCTACCTGTGGTCAGTGGGAGCCCCTCCAAGGTAACTTCTGAATGCTACTATGAGCCTGTTAATCTCAGACTGCTTCCTCGTTTTCAGGCACAAGATGCCCTGAGGCTTACACTATACAATTACTGCCCTGGACCTGAATGAACCTTTAATACAATGAGCTTTGTGTTCTTTTGGTACGAAGTGGTGATTAGAAACTATAATCTGGTACTAGTGATGCTTAGGGCTACTGGACTGTCATTGCTTCTTAGCACTGACAATGGACTGAGCTAGGAAATATCTGTTTTTAAAAGTGAGAAAAATAAACTATGAGTTCATACAAACACTTTGAGGTAAAATTTAGTATGATAGGGGTTCTACTTCATTTTAAATTCATTAAACTGTTTTATTTCTTATACTGAAAGTCTTCATTCCTAATGATATTAACAAAATTACTTATAACTTATTTATTACTTATAATTTATCCATATGCATGTATGTATTTCAAAATAATATACCAAAATTATCACCATCAGTAAGTCTACTAGATTCAGTTCAGTGGGGTTTTCTGTGGTCCTTTTTGTCCTGCTACAGTTCAACCTCAAATGAAAGAAAATTTAATGGGACAAATCACTTTTGTATCAGTCTAATGCCATTGTTCCTTAATTAGGTGTAAAGGGAGATAAGTGGGAAACTTTAAGTCATATCAATTTTTAAAACATTTCCCTTTGCAACAAGCATTCTGAGACAAAAACAAGGTCTGGGTGAAAAATTCTTTAGCGAATTGATATAAACACAGGAGAAACAAATCACCCCACTGAGTAATACAGGGTCAGTGAACTGCAGGAGTAAGAGGCCAGAAAAGAAATCATGAGCATAACTCTCATTAAACAGGCACGGTAAGTCAGAGCGGACAGGCAGCTGCAATTTTCTCAGCAGGAGCTGTAGTGAAACGCTGCTTAGCAACACCCGAAGGCAGAGGACAATGACGATGGTACAAAGAGCTGGGGTGTCAGATTTAAGTGTGACAATCAGACCGTCTTACAGCTGATTATTCACCAACCAAAGCACAACCAACTGTGGTAAAAGGGTAAAATATGACTACACTGCCTATGCTTTAGTACTTTCATTTCCTACTTTTAAAGAGTGCTGGCAAAGGGTTTCCCTAGTGGCTCAGAGGTAAGGAATCTGCTTGGCAATGCAGGAGACACAGGTTCATTCCCTGGTCCAGGAAGATCCCTCATGCTGTGGAGTAGCTAAGCCCATGCACCACAACTATTAAGCCATGCTCTAGAACCCCTGAGCTCAACCACTGAGTCCATGTGCCACAACTACTGAAGCCTGCAGGCCCCAGAGACCATGTCTATAACAAGAGAAGCCACTGCAATGAGAAGCCCGTGCACTGCAGTGAAGAGTAGCCCTCGCTCGCTGCAACTGGAGAAAACCCTTTCAGTAGTAAAAATACAGCACAGTCAAAAACAAATAAATAAATATATATATATTTTTAAAATGCTGGCTAAAAAAAAAGGCTGAGCCATTAAATCAAGCACTGATCGGATCCACAGTTACTTGACCCTGAAAGCACTAAATAAAATCTGTAAACTTCACAGGCAAAATAAAAAGGCAACAAAAACATTTCATATGTTGTGATAAGCTATAAGTTAGAGGACCTATAAAATTCAATGTGATCTTATCATTAGTGATTTTTTTTTTTTAATTTGAGTTTTAATCATTCTCAAAAATTTTTTTTTTCTGCCACGACATACAGCTTACAGGATCTTAGTTCCCAGACCAGGGGTTGAACCCGTGCACTCTGCATTGAAAGGCCAGAGTCCTAACCACTGAACTGCCAGAGAAGTCCCTCATTCTCAACTTTTAGTGTATATTAAAATCATCTATGGAGCTTAAAAAAAAAATACATATGTCCAGACTCTTAATGTAGACATGCTGAATCAGAATCTCTAAAAGTGGGCTGGGCATCAATATTAGGAAAAAGATCCCAGGCAATTTATTTGCACCAAAAGTTGAAAACCACTGAGATATGTAAATATTTAAAACAGTTCTGTTTTATTTGCACAAGAACCACTTCAGGAGCTTGTTAAACATGCCGATTCCCAGGACCTATGAAAGTACTGATTCTCTTAGCCTGGTGTGGGCTCAGTAATTTACTTTTAACCAGAATTCCAGGTAGCACTGATACAAGTGTCATCAAAACACACTCTGAGTGACATTTTAAAAAATATCATTGGGAAAGAATGAAAGAGACCAAAACAGACAAATACCACCAGGCTGGGATCCGTTATGTGGCAGCCACTGACCTGAGTGATGTTGGTGAATATCTGCTCAGACATTCTCTCACACAGAAGAGCCACCAGTTGGAGAACCACCAGCTTCCGCTCCTGACCTTCCACCAGAAGAGTCTGGTGCTGCTCTAATTCCAAAAGGCTTTTGTTGGAGAAAGACTTCATTTTTAACTCTGTTTCATCTTCCACAGCCACGTGAGTCAACTCCTATCAGTGTGGGAGAAAAGAAAAAGTAAAGAAAAATCCTACAGAACCAAGGACTTTAAAAGCAGACAGAAAACTCATTTGAAATGTGTATATGGAACCAGTTTGTGTTCATTACAGCACTAGTTATAATAGCCAAAAACTGAAAACAAATATCCTTCGATAAGAGAACGAATAAGCTGTGATGTATTTACTATATTGTAGCAGTTGAAATAAATGAACTAGATCTACACAGATATCAATATAATCTTAAAAACACAACTGAATGGAAGAGGTAAGCTGCAGAGTAATACATATATCATGATGCCAAGTATATGAAAATGTTAAACTTTACAATAAAAATCATAAACACACACAAAGAACTAGTCTGACAAACTACTTACTTTATCACTATTTTTATGATCTCTACCACTAGCCTCCCTTGAACTGAGGTCATATAACATTTCCAAACTCTTTTTAGTGACCATTAAATGCTTTCACCACCAGAGGTCTTTTTCCCTAGGATATTCAGAACTGAACTTTCACTAATAGGTAATTCATTACTGTGGGTTTTGTAAGATTTTCCCTAGCTTTCATCTGTAAATTTCCTTGAGAAGGGAAAACCTTAAGCTCCATAACAATGAATACTTTACCACAGATTAATAACTGACAGTTCAGAGCAGTGGTGCTCAACTGTTTCTGGGCAATTTTGCTCTCCAGTGGGCACTTAGCAATGTTGAGGGGCATTTTTGGTTGTCATAACTGGGAGATGACACAGACATCTATAAGTAGAAGTCAGGGATGCTGCTAAACATCCTACGATGGACAGGAAGCCCCACTCAAAGAAACAAATAGCTAGCCCAACATGTCAATAGCACCAAGGTAGAGGAACCCTGGTTTAGAGCAAAGCCCTTTGACTTTTTGAAACAAATGTTAAAGAAATCATCCAATTAGGGGAGTATTTTCTTGGGATGTTATTTACAATGAGGGGGGTATGAATGTGAATAGGAGAGGTGAGAAACCTCAAAAAAGTATCCCCCACTTCAATTCTATGAACATTAGCCCTGATCTCCTCCTTGCATTCTCCCAACCCACACCAACCTTAAACTCCATAGACATTCTCTTAGAGTGGACATTTTCTTTAGGGAAAATATCAAAGCAGAGATCAACGATAGAGAATCAGAGACACTGGCTCATGGTCTCTAACAATGCAAATAAGGAGAATCGGGGTGCAAGTTACTGACATCAGAGCAAAAGAAAACAAAGCCACCAGACTAAGAAATAAACCCGGAAAAGGTTTCAAGTGGCTACAAAATGTAATGAGAGAGGCAGAACTGCTAAATCTCCTTTGCAAATACCTGACAAAACAACAGTCAGAAAGGATGAGGGATTATTCCACAGCTGTAAAACCTGCTATTAACTTCAAAAGAGTTCTTACTGTCAACATAGAGCAAAGATTAACCCTTTCGTAGATCAATCACTTTACTTAGGTCATCTCTAAAAATTCAGTGGAGATTACCTCGCAAAGGAGTTCAATCCTATGTGTACTGCTGAAGGCAAATTTCTTTTTGACTGAACCAAACACTACTAAAAAATAAATTACCCTATGGACTTTATTTCTCCTAAATTAAGACCTAATTTTAGAACCTAAAATTATGACTGCCTGGCAAATTCAAAGGAGTTCCTGATACTACCCTAGAATAAAAATGACTGTGAGCTATACACAATTCTTACCTTCAAGCAGAAGATGAAAAAGTCACCGGCTAAACCACATTCTTGGCAATGGGACAGCAAGCCCCCAAGATGCTCCACTCGGCACTGCTCTGAGGACACCTTCTGGTATAGGGCTTCATCTTCATCTTCATCACTGCAATGCAGGGGGAGATTTATCACCCAGAGGTTTTTTTTTTGGAGACCCCATTAATAATCTTCTAAAGTAACATGTTAATTTCATAGAGTAAATCATTATAAAAGCTCAAAAGAAGTTTAAATTATTTTCCTGTTTCTCCATGCTGAAAAGTTATTTATTCTCAGCAGTTAGGCTATCATGTCCTGTACAGTCATTTGCTCAAATGAGGAAAAGATTCATTTGAAGGTGGATATTGAAAGATCACTATTGATATTATTTCAATAAGCTTCAAACGCAAGGAGGAATTAAAGTACAGGTTTACGCATATATTCTGGCTCCTGAAGGAGACAAGAGAAGGCTGAAAAGCGAGGCCAGACCACAGAGAATGTTGGATGTCATTCAAAGGAGCTTGAATTTTTTTTCAGTGAGCTGCTAAGGGTTATGAGCAGTGGAAAGAAGACATAATCTTCATAGGAAGAGATTCAGTCAATCTCAGTGAGCCAACTGTTGACTTGTAAAAATCCACAGATTCAGAAAACTGAGGCTGAATTTCCAAGTAATAAAATGTGGCTAAATGATCAAAAACAGTGCTGTGACTTCTGCAAAAAGTTTAAAGAAAATTCTCACGAGGTACTACAGCTTCTAGTTTTCATTCATCAGGTAAGTGTGAAAAAGCCAACACATAATATTCTTATACTATATCATGTAAATAAATACAAAGGTACAAAGATACACTAAAAACAAGACACTAAAATCATGTAAACTGTGATTAGGATAGTTGGTAATTTTTATTTCCTCTTTATGCTTTTTTATGTTATACAAAGGACATTTATAACTTTTGTGATGAAAGAACAAAACTTCTTTCAGATTAAATTGAGGGAAAAAATGACAGGTGTTGCTTCATTTCAGTGAAAACTACAATTATTAAAGTTAATTTAGCAAACTATCTCACTGGGCAGTATGTCCCAATCTGCTGGTTCACTAGTAACATAGTATTTATACTCCTTTAGTAGAATGAATCACCTAGAAGTTAAGTTTAGGATTACTTCCTATATTATCCTAGAATCTTCTAGAGGTCAGTCATGTTATCTCCAACACATTTTAAGTTAGAAGAAAAGCTAAAATTGTGTCTAAGCTTCTGTGAACCATCCTATCAAAATGAAATACCATATTCAAATATTCTTTAAAAAATAAAAAAATGACATGCTAACAATGACCTTAAGAAGCATTGTTTTATTCATTCTTAAAACTGCAATGGAAGAATCAATTTCAAATAGTCATTCATATTTAGCTCCGGAAAAGTAAAAATTCTGGATCCAAAGATGACAATATCTAAGCTGCTCTTCTAGAGTTTCTTTAATCAGACTTCTTATTGATAAGTAGCGCTGCTGGGCAGAATGGTGGCATGAAAGGTAAGTGATGATAAAGACCACGGGCTTGGGGGATGAACACCATGAGCAGTTTTAGAAGAAATCGTAAACACACACATACACACCATATACCACCACCACCCCACCACCCCGGTCTGGTACAGTGTCAACTTACTGGAGAAATGGAGTGTCTTCAATATGTAATGAAAGCTATGGACCCTATTTTCAGCAAAGAATCTGTAGTTGCATATAAAAAATCCCTTGTGTATAATTTCAAGGGGATCACAGAGTCCCAGAAGTCCAGGTAGAGACCCCTGGTTAAGGATCTATCGCTTCTGGCAGTGAATGGAAATTCATTCAATCACTGCCAATTCACTCTTTTTCCTGCCAAGGAGAGAAACTATAGTTTCAGTAGAAACTATTGATTTTGACATACTTGCACTAAAGACTTGTTAAGATACCAATGAGTTTTAACTACTGATAAGTCAAATACTATGAAATTCTCTATGTAGTCACTAAATTGATTTCAGGCTAAATTGTTCCAAAGTGGTTTTAAATAAACATGACAAAAAATATTAAGCTCCCTTCGTTCAGGGGCATAGTTATAACTGCAAAACCTACACTGATGGTTCTATTTGCAATCAGTATTTTTTTTCTATTTTTCTTAAGTCCTTCTGATTAAATAAGTGTTTTAAAACTTAACCAAAGAAAAAAAAAACAAACACCACTTAATCAAGCTAACCATGAATAAAAATATTAGACTTAAACACTTTAACAAATAGCAACACTTTGAATGTGATATGACATTTGAGTAGAGCAGCTGTCACCAGTTAAATATTACATGGACTCTGATCAACAAGAACTTATGTTCTGAGGTGGTAACATATACATATATCACCCAGAAAATGGAAATAATGTAAAATACATTTGTGAGACATCAGTTCAGTTCAGTTGCTCAGTAGTGTCCGAGTCTTTGCAACCCCATGAATCTCAGCACACCAGGCCTCCCTGTCCACCACCAACTCCCGGAGTTTACTCAAATTCATGCCCATCGAGTTGGTGATGCCATCCAGCCATCTCATCCTCTGTCGTCCCCTTCTCCTCCTGCCCCCAATCTCTCCCAGCATCAGGGTCTTTTCCAATGAGTCAACCAACTCTTCACACGAGGTGGCCAAAGTACTGGAGTTTCAGCTTCAGCATCAGTCCTTCCAATGAACACCCAGGACTGATCTCCTTTAGAATGGACTGGTTGGATCTCCTTGCAGTCCAAGGGACTCTCAAGAGTCTTCTCCAACACCACAGTTCAAACAAAATCAATTCTTTCGGCACTCAGCTTTCTTCATAGTCCAACTCTCACATCCATACATGACCACTGGAAAAACCATAGCCTTGACCAGACGGACCTTCGTTGGCAAAGTAATGTCTCTGCTTTTTAATATGCTATCTAGGTTGGTCATAACTTTCCTTCCAAGGAGTAAGCGTCTTTTAATTTCATGGCTGCAGTCACCATCTGCAGTCATTTTGGCTTCCCATGTGGCTCAGCTGGTAAAGAATCTGCCTGCAATGCTGGAGACCTGGGTTTGATCCCTGGTTTGGGAAGATCTCCTGGAGAAGGGAAAGGCTACCCACTCCAGTATTCTGGCCTGGAGAATTCCATGGACTATCACACAGAGTTGGATATGACTGAGTGACTTGTGAGATATAGGAGAAATAAATTATCCATTCCACTAATATCAGTTAGCTGTTTTCTAAACAATCCCTAAGAGAAACAAACCTCTATCACAAAATTACCATAAGACTGCTCTGAGAGAATTTCCCATAGGAGTAAGTCCGACTCTGAACACACATATACCATTTTGAATGTCAGAAAGAGAACTGGATTGTTATAGGGTTGAGGGTGAAAGGTGTCTGCCAATTACTCTGATTCACTGGCAAAGACTCTGCGAAGTAAGTGGGCTTGTTATGACACAGAGCTGTGAGACTGCAGTAAACTGCACCTATTAGCATCTAGCAAAAACCTGCAGGATCATTTAAGGCTCACCTTTCACTTAGAGATTATAAATAGCACCTCAGCTGCTAATTTCTGGTTTCCTTTCGATCAGCGCCCCTTAGTGGACAAGTCATAGAACAGCCTCTTGGGTACAATTAAATCTGAAGAGAGAGCAAAGAATGGGTAGACTCACCAAACGGCCTCTTTGATGGCGATCATAATGCCGCCCTGAGTGGCAGCTCTAAAGTGGCACAGAGAATGGAGAGAGGGCACAGATCTGTCCAACCCTGCAAATCCTTTTAGGCTAGCAATTGCCTTCTTTCTCTCCAGTCTCCCCAGAATCCATAATAAGATCTCTTGGCAAAGTGACCTGGCAGAAAAAAGCAGTTATAAATGAGCTTGTCATCTTATTCTACATGTCTAACAAGTTAACACAGAAAAAGAAAGAATGACTGTCAGGTTCCATGCATTCTAAACGCTGGCACAATCACCTAGTATTACTGACGTGTGGGAGAGGACACTATGCTTAAGAATTTCAGAAAGCAAACATCCTGAAATTTGATGAGTGACTGACTAATCTCTGGCTTTAGAAGCAGCTCTGATATGACACATGAGCCCCACATGATTTTTTTTTTTTTAATTCCAAGTGTACTCACTGCCTTTGCATCAGGCACTGTGAAAGAAAGTTGGCACGGATCAAACTACCTACCGTCAATGGGACCTATAACTGGTGACCAAGAAATAGTACACCAGCAAATTCTTGCTGATTCCTTATCCCCCTTATCTGTGCCAATCAACTAGGATACAAGTGGAAAAAACATTTGCTTCTTCCTTCTCAGTCTGAGGACATGATAGTGCTATGAGGACTTCAATTTCAAAACTAGAACAAGAATTATTATAGGAATGGTCTTCAGAAGCCAAATTCACACAATTATACCCTCCATCTTCCAATGCACTCTCTCGTCACTTCCCTCATGGCTGTAGGCTTCAGTGACACCCTAACCAAAAGGCAGTATGTAAGCTGGAATAATCTGCCAGGCTGAGTACTTCCCTTTATCAACTAACGATCATGATGATAATGACTATTTACTGAGCCTACAATTTTCCAAGGACAGTGCTATACACCTACTTCAATACAGTTAGTCTTCATAATAACCCCATGAAGAAGATAATATTACTGTAAACAAGATTACATATGGGGGGATTTCCAAACAACAAAAATCAGAATTCTGTAGAACTTCGGAAAGGACAGAAATTTTTAAAATTTTTATTGGAGTATAGTTGATTTGCAATGTTGTGTTAGTTCCAGGTGTATGGCTAACTGAATTAGTTATACATATACATATATCCACCCTTTTTTAAGGTTCTTTTCCCATATAGGCCATTATCGAGTATTGAGTAGAGTTCCCTGTGCTGTACAGTAGGTCCTTATTATCATTTTATACCTAGTAGTGTGCATGTGTCAATCCCAATACTCCAATTTAAGTCTAAGAAGGAGGGAGAAACAACACAAATCGCTTGAGAATAGAGTTGATACAAAATGAGTCCTACTTAAATTCCAGTACAGAAGATTATTTTCTGGATGAGTGAGGAACTCCTTCATTCTCATTAACACTGTGCACAAACACCAAATCCAGGCCTAAATTACAGAGTACTAAATTCAGATTCAGGTTTCCCAAACTTGATTTCTAACTGCTCACAAGGTATTTACGGTCCAACCTCTATTTCCTCCTCCCCAGACATACAGTTCCAGTATTGTTCACTGGTCAAACAGGGGCATGCTCATACTGTAAACAGGTTTTCTCTCTGCTGTCTAAAACAGAGGCTGACAGAAAGATAAAGACCATTACAGTATACTAACACATATATATGGAATTTAGAAAGATGGTAACGACAACCCTATATGCAAAACAGAAGAGACTCCGATGTATAGAACAGACTTGTGGACTCTGGGAGAAGGCGAGGGTGGGATGTTTCAAGAGAACAGCATCGAAACACGTGTATTATCTAGGGTGAAACAGATCAGCAGCCCAGGTTGGGTGCATGAGACAAGTGCTCGGGCCTGGTGCAGTGGGAAGACCCAGAGGGATCGGGTGGAGAGGGAGGTGGGAGGGGGGACCGGGATGGGGAATACATGTAAATCCATGGCTAATTCATCTCAATGTATGACAAAAACCACTGCAATGATGTAAAGTAATTAGCCTCCAACTAATAAAAATAAATGAAAAAAAATAAAAAAAATAAATAAATAAAACAGAGGCTGAGGAAAGTCATTCTAGAAACTAGATCCAATTCCCCTGCAATCTGCAAAGCACTCTTTTCTAGAGGACTGTCAGAAGTTTTTCTGACTTTGAAAGAAAAAAAAAACTACAAAGGGGCATAAGTCATACTCAAAATAAGAACAACATGCAAGAAAGACTTCACTGTTTACAAACAAGAAGGTTCTCTAGGTTGTTTACCTTATGTGCGACACGCTCTGCTTGGTAAAACAGTAGAGAGAGAAGAGGACTCCCAGGACAGGAAGCAGAGAATCCACCAAAACTGATAAAGGTTCATTCCCGACCACGTAGACCTAGGGAAAAGGACACAGTGGTACAGTGAGTGCAAGGCCTGAGGAATGGGAGTCAAACACTGCACACGTATCAACAGGGCCTGAAGGCTTACCTTAAGCAACACTCTACCCCTAAGGTGAACACTTTTAAGGCCAAGGCTAAGGCAAACACCTGAGACTGGCAGACACGTTGGAACACAGAGAGACTGAAATGAAGCATCACCCTTCACGCGTGCAGCCTGAAGAACCGCTGGGGAACCAGGCAGGTGGACCCATTTTCTGACCTCTTCCTTTCCTACTTCTGACTAGCTCAGAGCCTCCCAAGCTACTGTTCATCTATACAATAATTATCTTACTGCTAAAGGCCCTGCTACTAGGACTAACAAGCAAACAGAAAAGCTTAAGACTAGATTTGAAAGAAAAAAGCAAAACAAAATTTGCTCTAGGTTTGTCCTTTTTTAGAAACATTTGTTTTTATTTATTTATTTGGCTGTGCTGGGTCTTAGTTGCAGCACACAGAATCTTCTACCTGTGGCATGTGGGATCTAGTTCCCTGACCAGGGATTGAACCTGGGCCCCCTGCACTGGGAGCACAGAGTCTCAGCAACTGGACGACAAGGGAAGTCCCTAGATTTGTCATTCTCCCGATGTGACTGCCACATGGACAAATCCTATTCTCTCCAGTTCAATCAATGTGCACCTAGATCTGCACTGGCTTTATAGGGTTAAGCGTGTGAGGACGCTAAAGCTGATTAACAATAACTATATTAAATATTTTATTTGTACCTTTCAAAAAGGATTCAACAAACTTTTCTGAATACATACTGGAATCAAAGTACTGTTCTAGGCACTGCACTACTCTGAATATCAAAGTGAAGAATTGTTCTCTTTCATTGCTTGTGATCTAACAGGAAGAATAAAATGAGTTAAACCAATAATATTGTTATTATTATTCAAAGTGGATAATTTAAAATACCTTACGAAGTGCTAAAATGCTATTCAAAACTCCAATCAAGCATAATAGGATTTTAAAATGTACTTAATTCTGCTCTAATACATTAACTAAAACCTGATGGTGTCAACGGTGATAATAATAAAAGAAGAAAAAAGAGGCTCTGACAATGATTACACACTTGATATGTATTCCAGGAACTATGCTAGGATTTCTATCTTCCAGGTACCAGGTTATTCCTTTAAAGAGTTGGCTCACTGAAATTATAAAAATCTCACAAATTCTGTATTAGCAGACCTATTTTTTTTTAGTGTAATTGTTTTACAATATTGTGCTAGTTTCTGCTGTACAAGTGAATCAACTATATGTTCACATATATCCCCTCCCTCTTGAGAATCTCCCTCTGACAACCTCCCCATCCCACCCCTCTAGGCCATCACAGGGCACCAAGCTGAGCCTCCCTGTGCTACACAGCAGCTTCCCACTAGCTATCTTACACACAGTAGTGCATATATGTCAATCCTACAATCCCAATTTGTCCCACCCTCCCCTTCCTCCAAGGTGTCCACATGTTTGTTCTCTGTAAGCAGACCTATTTTAAAGGATGAAGAAAGGAAAACTTAAAAGAGGCCCTAATTAACACAAAGAGGAGTGAGGTAGAAATCAATGATGTTTATGGGAAACTAAAGGTCAAGGAGGCACAAGCTGGAAAAATCTGTGCTTTTCCAGAGAACCCTGTCCCTTTAAATCAACCCTAATTTTTCATACTCCTTAAGCCTCCCAACTCCTCTGCGGAGCCTGATAACGAAGGAGCCAGCTTCCTGTGCATGATCTAATCTCCATAAGCCCAGCTAAATGAGGTACATTGTATGGCAGTGTTCAGAAATAATATGCAGGCCTAATTATGATATCACAAATTACAGGAGGTAAAAAAGGAGATCCCCCAGATAACGTAAGGGCCTATTGTTTGGATTGTGTGTTCCTCTGGATTGTGTGTTCCCAGAGGTAATCCCTGTGGAGCCATCCTTCCTTACCAGCATCTTCAATACAAAAAACAAAAAAACAAATGAAGCTAAATCTGTATTATTTACTGGGCCAAAGCACTTCAAACTTTAACATGAATTCGTATCAAGCACATCTCTCACAGGGTATGCTATTGTTGATAAATTCCTCCAATGCTTAAATTCTCTTCTAATACTTTTCTGTATTTTCTTAGAAGGAAGATAAAAAACTATAGTTACTTATACATACAAAAATGTTATCCATTTTTACATAAAGGTGCAGCATATGTTTACTGAGTGCCAATCTGTGAGACATATTTGCGGTTCTGAGGATATAGTGGGAAACAAATTATCTGCTTCGTTCTAGTGACAGGACGGAAACTAAATAAATATACAATATCAGGTAGTGAAAATGCTAGGAAGAAAAACAAGTTTAAAAGGACAGAGAGTGATGAGGGGAAGACCATGTGAAAAGAGGGAGAAATTAAGAGCAACTCTTATCAAGTCACCAACTAATAAACCAATAAGTTCATAGATAAGAACAGAGAAAAAAATTTTTTCAAAGTAGAAAGATTTAAAGTCTCCTTTGGCTCAAACTGATCAATTAGCTTTTTCTATGAGAGCTCAGAGAACTTGAATGACTTCTGCTTGACACAAACAGGATTGTCACCTCCCTTCCAACATTAATAGTTAAAATTCTTCCTTGGACTGAGCTCCAATCTACTTCTCTTTAAATGTACTTACTGGAAATATATCTATTTTCCAAAAGTTTTGGACTGACCATCTAAAAACAATCATCAAAATCTGTTTTTTTAAAATCCACCCTACGATTGCTCTGCATCCTAATGACCAGACAGCATTTTACAGATGAAAGACAGGCAGTGGTACTTATGCAATTGATCCAGCTTAAGTTCTACCTCTTCCATAGGTCTGCTATATTATTTCACTGTTCAACAGTTCATTCATTCATTCTCTAATTCAAATAACCATTAAGTATCTAACCACCATCAATGACTTTTCTTCTATCAATTCCAAAAGCACTTTAGAGCTTGTATCTCTACCTCTTCAACTAGCCTGGAAGGCAGAAGTCAAGTTTCCTACTTTAGCACCTGTAAGAATAGATGATTAAGTTGTGTTACCTGAATTTTTGGTGAATAAGCAGTTGAAACACAACAGTATACAATTTAAAGGCACCCCACTGTTACCGCTTTTATTAAGCAATCAATAACCACCACTTATTGCATGTCTCCTCAAGAATGAACCAGGTATTCAGCTAAACATTTAACATATAATCAATCCTCACAAGAGTCTTGCAAGTTAAGCATTTTATTCTCATTCTAAAACCGTGGAAAACTGAAGCTCAGAGAAGCGAAGTTAGTTGGGCAAAGGTAGACTGTTAGGAAATGGCAGGACCAGGATGAACCCAGATGTGTCTAACATAAAAGCCATGCACAACCCAGAGACAGAAAACAGACTAGCAGCTCCCAGGGTTGAAGGGAGGAAGAAGTGGGAACCGAATGCTTAATGGGTATGGGGTTTACATTTGGGATGATGAAAAAGTTCTGGAACTAGCCAGTGGTGCTGATGGCTGTGCAACACTGTGAATGCCACTGAATTATACATTTTAATATGTAAAATGTATAATTTTATGTTATGTGTATTTTATCAGTAAAAAAAAGAGCAAAGCATATACCCCATGGCCTCCCAATACTGATCTCCTCTTGTGAATAATATTTTTCTTTCTTCAATCCCTAACCCATACCAACTTTATCCCTGCCGGAGCCCCTCAGAATCAGCGGATCCCGGCTTGTGAGGCTATTAATGGCCTGTTTCTGCAACCTCTGCCAAGTAGGGCTGAAGCTCCCAGGGGCACCATGGACAGCACCTCAGCGTGGCTGCCTCTTCCTTCTACTGAGAATCTTAAATAGCCCCTTTCTATCAAGGTTTCCATAAATCTCCAGGGCCACAGTGTAGCCAGTCTCTTCAAAGGACAGCCCCCTCCTTCCAATATCTTGCCTCACATGCAGGTTAACAGTGTGGTCTGCACCTGACATCTAACATTACCTTCCACTTCCATTCCCAAAGTGAAATCTGGTCACTTTCCCCTTAATGTGGCTTGTATCCGGAATTCAATGACCCACAAAGGGACATGAAGGCTGGACTAATTCAGCCAATGCTGCAAAGCGATCTCTTGGTGCCAGCACTGACAAGGACCAAATGCACTAGGGGAAAAAAACCCTTGCAATGAAGTCACACCACAGATGGAAAAAACCGTTGGGGCCAGTTTTCCTCCTAATTGCCTGCACACTAGGCTGGTGACAATACCAACTGAAGAAGCAACAAAGACACAAACGTAAGTTGTTCCTGCCCAACCAAGAGGAGGATCTGACTGCCTACCTCTGCGCTCTAATACCCAAATGTTGTGGAATTTCCTTGGACTATGCTTATGTGCAGTCTCTTTCTAGTGGACAGTCTTCCCTGCTCACTAGGAGGCAAAGTGGGATGGGGATTCAAGTTCTGAAACACAATCTAATACTTGTTATCTTATTTCTCTTCCTGTAATAAAGATGTTCCACATCATTGAAGTTTCCTTTTTTTAGCAGTAAAACTATCAGGTGTGTTACACATAGGATTGCTTATTGTTACACAGTGGATTGCTTCCACTGACCTGTTGAGAGATTTAACATGAATCAATTGACTTCTCTGAATCTTAGTTTCCTTATCTGAAAAATAAAATAGTAGTAGTAGTAGTGTTAGTCGCTCAGTCACGTCTGACTCTTTGCGACTCCACAGACTGTAGCCTGTCAGGCTCCTTTGTCCATGGGATTCTCTAGACAAGAATACCGAGTGGACTCCCATCCCTTCTCCAGAGGATCTTTCTGACCCAGGGATTAAACACGGTCTCTTGCACTGCAGGCAGATTCAGAAAAATAAAGAGGTTGATTTAATCACGCTTTAAAACTCTTTCCTATCTCATCTAGTATTCTCTGACTGGACTGCAAGTTTGCTCATGGTGGTTTATACTTTTCTGGTCAGCCACTGAGCAGTAAGACTAGTTGAAAAAAATT